GGACATTGTCTAATATGCAGTGGCCAAGGCAAAACCTTGAAAAGTTCTGGGTGGGACTTCAGCATTGGTGGATCACAGGGTACTGGAACCTTTCGTAGTGTGTCACGACCACCTCAGTTTAGAGATAAGAAAACTGATGTTTCAAATCATCAGCTTAACCAAAGGAAAAGTCCAGATAGTGGCTATCAAGGGGGATCTGGCAATAAAATTGCACTTAATGAGTCGCTAGAGCCTTCTCTTGGAAAAGATTTTGGAGTTCCATACCATGATGAACATCCGGATAATCACCTTGACGATGTAATTGACTCTCACCATGTTGGTCTTCCCTTTTCTTCAAATTAAATGATGTATCTCCACACAAGGAATGTTAGCGCCTTTTGATTTTTTTCTAAAACATTCATATATGTGATAAATGCTTAGTTGCGAGTTACCAACTGCACTTTCAGATATTTTGAGCTGAAGCTGATATAATATTCTTTCTCCAACTTGCTGCCCTTATAGCAGACACATAAACAACAATTAAATTGTTTACAGCAGTATAATCATTTAAATTGTTCACCTAACAGTAAAAAAATGCATTAATCATCAACTAGGTTTAACTTTATTTTATACTTGAACATGCTTTGATATATTGAACTCACCAATTTAGCAGGACGAGCTGTCTGGGAATGGATCTGGAACTATTGTTGTTCGGTCTCCAAAAGGTCCTCAGTCATCACTGTTTCGTGACCAAAGTTCCCGGGTATATTTCGAACTGATTTTTTTATTCAAAATTGGTTAGTTATTATTGCTCTTCAATGCATTCACTTATTGACATTTATATTTTCACAGTCTAGCAGCAGTTATGCTTCTTTTGAAGATGTTTCTACTAGCGGAACTGTTGTTTTGCGTAACCAGCACGATGATTCTGATTCTCCACAGACACCAAGGTCCCGACTGGGACTTAATAGCAGAAATTCAAATGCCTCATTTGAGGATAGTGCCACAAATCTTGCTGAGGTTCTATTTTTTTTTTTTAAAATAAGCTGTGAATTTCACTTGAATGTTAATTGTGGCCTAGATAAGCTGTTTTTTTCCTTTGCTATATGTAGGTTTTTATTTTTTGGAAACGGTCAATTATTATATTAGTACCAATTTGTAGATTTCCCATATGTTTTCTATTGGTTTCTTCAGCCCTAATTTTGTTTAATTTGCTGTTCTTCTTTAGATTTCTATTTTCACTACTTGGATGCTTGACATGTTTGTGCTACTTTGGAAGTAATTATATTACTTGGTCATATTATTTTCTTGCCTATTTTTCTTTGTAGGCAAAGGCTGCTATCCAAGGTGGATCGAGGAAAGTAAATGCCCGGGAGAAATTTGCGCTGGGAAAACTCAACAATGATGTACAGGAAAACAGGAGAGATCAAATGTCAAGCAGCTCTGATTCTTCCAGGTACATTCATTGCCATAGTACTGATATTTTGTAAATATTGGTTATATAAAAAAAAGTGACTTAGATTTTTCAAGCAATATTTTTCAGACTATCTCGTGAATACATTGATTCACAAAAGGGAATTTCAAGATCAAATTATGCTATTGATGATGAAGAAAGTGACAAAATAATCTCATCCTCTGCGCCTTTATCTGTTTTGCTTATTCCTTCATTAAAAGAGGTGAATATACGCATGAATTTTATCTTATTTTAACTGTACTATGGCTTGCTCTTGTTTCAATTTAGTTTGTTATACCAGATAAACCTGCTTGCTTTATGCTGATTGAAATTGTAAATGATACATGGCTTCTCAACTGGAATTGCTTCAGATATAATTATTTTTTTATAAGGAATGTTTTCTGAATTTTTGTTACATACCTTGTAAATACTAAGTCATTAATTTCTTTGAAACGAGGCAAGATTCTATAATACACCATTGGCTTTTGTGAAAAAGATTATAATGGTTACTATTCTGACAATTTGTACTCTTATAGACAGTATTGCATTTTGAAAGGGAAGGAAAATTAAAAAAATGTTATGAATTTTGTGAACGCATTTTGTGTTTATATAGGCCATTTCTGAGGATCCAGAAGGGCCAATTGTGCAAATTGTTATCAATGCTCTTGTAAACATGGAGAGGACAAAGCCTCAATCCTGTGATGCTCTTGTCAAAAAATTGCTTCAGCGGTTGGCCAGGTTTGGATTCTAATAACATTCATTATGCAACACGCTAAAAGAAAATTAAATGTCTCTCTCTTGTGAGTTTTAATTCATAACCCCTAGAGAAACAATTTGTGCAGTTCAAAGGAATCTCCATTGAAGGACCTGCAAGAACTGGCTGGCCAAATACTCAGTAAGACTAAGTCAGCTGAAGAAACCCGAAATGCAGAGGCAGATAACAAGAAGAAACCAAACAAGGAACTTCATTCAAATAGCAATTTAAGCCCCCTTGCAAGATTTCTTCTCTCAAGGTTTGTCGAACCTGTCATTTACAGTGATTTATTAATATATAATAGGAATGCCAGTTGCAACTTTCATGTGTCTCTTGTCACCTCCATTTGCACAAATGTTCTATAATTTATTTAAATTATAAGCTTGATTAATAAAAAAAATATTTTTCTTACAATAGTTATTTAATTAGAAGAAACAATAGATTCATTAGAGTGACAATAGACTCCTCTTAGTTAAATCAATATTTCTTGGCTTAATGTTTTTGGTCCCTGCTATCTTTTTTGACTTTTGGTTCGTGTAAAATTTTTGTTTTGGTTTTGATCCTTGTTATTTTATTTTAATCCCTCTAAAATAGTAATATTTTTTTTATCCTTGTAATATATAAGATTATTTGCTTTTAGTCTCTTAAATATTTTTCAAAGAGACTAAAACTAAAACAAACAAAAAAAAAACGGATGAAAATAAAAATATAGGAACTAAAAGTAAAAAACTTGTAATAGCATGTATATTTAGGGACTAAACATATTTAAGTCATATTTGTTTTGTTGGTGCCCCTTGTACTTGCATTTGGGACAAGTAGTTTTTGTTTTATCCAATAGAATTGAACATATAGTAGGCAGTTTACAACAATTTACTCATCTTGTTCCACGAATTGAGTTAGGCTTCCTTGACTGAGAGACTAAGGATGACAATGAGTGTGGGTGGATGTGAGTAGTAGCTATCTGTCCCTACAAAAGCATGATATTTATATAATTTTGTGTACCTGTGAATGTGGGTACCATGATATTTGATCTACCTGTTTAGCATGCTGGTAAAGAAAAACATGTACCCGTAGGTAATTGGTATCCGTTTAGAAAACCAGTAAAATATTTATTGCAGGTTTTATCTGCCTATATTTGTAGATCCAAATATTTTTGGCATCGCTATATAAAAATAAACATAACACTAACACTTGTACATCATTTATGACATAAAATGTGCTTGTGGATAATATGGTTTTTGTTTCACAGATGGCAAGGCCAAACCTCACGGGATCTAAATCCATCATGAACGAAGTTAGGAGAAAAATTTTGTTTCTACATTTATTCTGATTAAATGTACATATGTCGTTATTATTATATTTTTTTGTTGTTGTTTCTTCATAAATTTTTTCTCATAGTAATAGTGACATCACTGTTGTATAATTAGCAGTGTTTTCCGAGTTCCATCAAAATTTGTACCATCATACACTGTTTCCTATTTAGTAATGGTTCTGTCTTCATTTTGAGAGGCTGATCCAATCCAACACGTTATCATCTATTTCTGAACTGTTGTTACATATGACATTTTTATTTTTACTTTTGAGCCTGTTTTTCATTTCACAAAGGATCGTGTTGATGAAAATCGTGTCACTAGTTCTATCGTCATAAAAAGGAATCGGTTTTGAATTGTTTTTATTAAATCAATTTATATCCATAAATAGCATAAAATATGATTACTCCCTCAACTTTTTAAGATTTTATTTTAAATCTTCAAACAAATATTTGATCTTTTTTTGTCTCTAATTTTTCTCTATATATTTTTTTCTGTTAATGTTTTTTTTTTTGAAACTGTCGTTTTTATCTTTATACAAAATTTAGTTTTAGTTCTTTAATATTTTTTGAATTAGATTTTGTCCCCCTACAATTTTATTTTATTTTTTTATACTTTTAGTTTCAAGAATATCTTTTATTTAATGTTTGTATCGTGGATCCAAACCTGTAGACCAATTCATCAAGTCTTAAGTTGAATACATGTCGTTTGAAGCCAAAATTCGAGCATATGTTATGAAGTAAATGGATTATTCAAATAAATTTGCTTATGAAGATGAAAAAGTTTAAATAAGTAAAATGACTCGATCAAGTTTTTATATGCAGTCCATGTTTTCGAATAATATTTATATATGGACTTTTTAATGCAACTTTCAAATTGTTTATTTTAAATATTAATGACTATTTAACGTGCTTTAAATGAGAAGTTTTTATGACATATTTAAGTCGTTAGTATGTTTTTTAATGGTGTCACAAACACTCTCCTTATTATTTTGAATGTGTCATTATTCATGGATTTTCTACCCTGTTGTTAATTACCTTTTAAATGTTAAATATCAAGTATCAATATAATTTAAGAAATTATTTTTGCAATATCTGATTTGTATTTTCTTACATTTCCTATTTATTTTAAGAAATTCTTAAAGTAATAAACGCAATTTATTATTTAGAAAGATGTTAAAAAATGTCGGCGCCAAAAGCTCGAACAAATGTAAGGAAAAGTAAAACAAGTGCCAATCTGCACACACGCTACAAAACAAAATCTGCCCGTTGAAACCTATCTATCGACGTTTCATAATCGTTCAATTTCCACTCCACGGATCGCGAAACTGAACCGTCGATTAATCCTTAATCCAACGGCAAAAATTAAAATTCAAAACTCCAAAGCACCTTCTATAAAATACCCATATCTCCCTCCCGAAAATCTATTCCAACTCGAATTCAAACCTAAAGAGAACCCTAAATCTTCAAATTGGGTAGATTTTGTATCGAATCTTTCTGAGAAAATGTCTGGTCGTGGAAAGGGAGGGAAGGGATTGGGCAAGGGAGGTGCGAAGAGGCACAGGAAAGTGCTTCGCGACAACATCCAGGGCATTACGAAGCCGGCGATTCGGCGGTTGGCGAGAAGAGGTGGCGTGAAGAGGATCAGTGGATTGATCTATGAGGAGACGAGAGGAGTGCTGAAGATTTTCTTGGAGAATGTGATTCGTGACGCTGTGACCTACACAGAGCATGCTAGGAGGAAGACGGTCACGGCTATGGATGTGGTCTACGCCCTGAAGAGGCAGGGAAGGACTCTCTATGGGTTTGGAGGCTGAATTCAATCCTTCGTTGTTTCGCTTCCTTTTTTTTTCATTTTGGAATCTGTTGTGGGATAAGAAAATACTTGCTCTTTTGAATCCTCTTGATCTTTAGTTTGGGTTGGGTTTGTCATGTAGCATACAAAACCTATTGGTCCCTGCTTAGAGTAGTAGAATATGAAGAACATCAATTGAATGAAATGTAGTGATGGTTTTTGTTGTATTTATCATAGCTCAAACTATTCTCCGCTATTTTAATTTAACGTATTATATGGTTTTTATGTCTCGCTGTTTTCAATTTTTGTTTCCCTCTTTTAATTATAGTCATCAAATTAATAAAAATTTAGTGAAGATTGATGTATAATTCAATGCGATGTCTCTAGTAATTGGGAGAATCAGGGGAGTTTAAGGATCTCTGTCAGAGCAGATTATATATATAAAAAGATTATTATAGTGACCCAAAAGGGTTTAACATGTGATATTCATCGCATAACCCTATCACAAGAATCTCTATTCTTGAAGGAGTACATTTTATTTCATCTTTTGCTTCATTAGATTTTCTTTCTGGTAAAGATAAAGTATCCTAACATAGGTTTCTTCCTGAAGTACCATCCCTTGTTTCGATTTCCCTGTTCTCCCGACGCTTAAGTCTCTTGTAAGCTTTGGAAAATGCCCACCTTACTCCGGAGGGCAAGAAGACGAATAAACACAGCATAAACAAATTCACAATTGAGCTAGCACCAGTGGGGGATATCACCTTCATAGAATAGAGATAACAGTAGGCAAACCAAAACATTGGTATGAACAAAACATTACCCACTATCCCACTTGGCGTCAAAATATAGATTGTGGCTGTTGAAAGCATAAGAGATAGTGAATTGGAAATCGATAAGGTCAAGAAATCACATTCAGTCATGACAGAACTCCCAGCTGTATTGACATTCTTTTCTGCATTAGCCTGATAAACTCCACCAGGGGGACTTAGTGCCGATTGATAGGTAGCAGTTGCAATGAGAGCAGCAACTATTAGAAAAGCCTGGTGTTGGTCTTCTGTTATATCCCTTCTAATGCGAATTATAAATATCATTATTTTCTCTAAACGTGTGATATTCCATTCCACCTTAGTTTATCCGCAAGGGTTGGAGCATCTTTAACTGATGAACCATGTTTTGCACCAGCCCATCACTAACACTTGCTTTGTCTCTGGACCATGTCTAGTGCTGTTGAGTTTTCCAAATTCTTGGCCTTCAAATCAATCTTAGTCTTCACCAACAATCGCAGTGCCTGTTCCACCAAACAATTAATGAAAAATATTGTTAAAAAATCTCCAATGACAGTTATCAGGTTTAAGAACTAGTTGTTATAAAGATCATTGGAGGCGGCTTTTATGACTTCCAGAAGTAAGAGGCATGAATTCTTATGATTAAGACTTATTTTAAGGAAAAGCGTGACACTCATTTTAAGTTCTTATATGATTAATTATCAGAATAGAAAGTAGATAAAAATTCTTAAACATAATTTAGCATGACAACAGATTCACAATAACTAAGAAATAACCTTTACTTCAAGCAGGAACATATTCATTATTGTATATATCAGTATTATAGAATAAATTAATCATTACATAAGATTCAAAAATTACAAAATTAATCACATGCCACAAAAAATTACATTAATTTATAATAAAAATTAATATCTAGGTTAATTATAATTTTTTATGAATAAAAAAAATGTTATGGATTGCACTAATAATATCTAATTTTGATAGGTATACAATGAAATATAATATTTTTTTCTTTATTTAAATTTATACAGCGACACTTTAGATCTATACATTTAAACTTCATAAAAACATTAGAACGACACAAACATTTTTTTTCTTTTATCTCACATTAATCAAATTAATTTTAAATAATCATTATTTTATTATATTTTATATTTATAATATTTATTATATAATAATAAAAATTAATTATATTATAAAAATATTATTCATTGAATAAGGTTAGATTACATTTAAAATTTCTTGGTTGGGATTTAAAAACAATGATAAATTAAACTCTATATCAAAGTTAAGTTTGAAGGACAGAAGGTACCTTTGAGTCATTGTTGAGGGCTGAAACATGCAGAATGGTGTTTCCTGATTCATCCTTCCAGTTCAATATTGTTTCTTCTATCTCCATGGCGCTCGTATGACATGTTCTCTTCAGCCATCCAACCAAGACTAGAAGAGCCTCATACTGTTGATATTTTACTGCAACATGAAGTGCAGTTTCACATCTAACGCTCACATCTTCAATGGAATCAGGACAAGCCATGAGGAAGTTAGCCAGAAGATCAATTTCTCCAATCTGACTAGCAAAATGCAACGGGGTGAAACCTTCCCTCCCTTTCGCTCGAACCAATTCTTTGTTAACGTTCACAAAGCGAAGCACCATTTTCTTATGGTTGTGTTGCATAGCAAGGTGGATAGGTGTGAATCCTTGTTGATTTAGCTTCCAAGCAAATGAAGGTTTCAGCCTCATTATCTCAGTGGCGAACCCTACATTACCAAATAATGCAGCAGTATGCAAAGGTGTCTCAACAAATGGTATTGAATCTTCGTGTTCCAAAACTTGTGGATCCTCCTCAATTAATGTGTACAGAAGGTTTAAATCTCCATCTGGTGCAGCTTCTTTCAAATTGTTATCACTAGTTACTTTGAAGTTTGAAGCCATAACTCTTGAGAACCAAAAATGTGCACCAGCTAGCTGTGTTATCTCACTTATAAATACTCTTCAACTTACATTTTCATTTCAAGTTTTTATATATCTTATAAACTTTTAAATTCTACAAAATTTTGTATAAATAATCTAATTCCTACATTCATTATATTTATATTTTATAAATTACTACTTTTTTAGTATAAAATATGTATGTTAAGTTTTCTAAGGAGAATTAGTTTACTTTCCATTAATTATATAAAATAATCAGCTTTTAAATAATAAATATGTGAATTATATAATATTATTTTACTCATTTTTTTTAATTCCATTATATTTATTCTTCTTCTTAAGTTGACTCCTCTTGGGGTTCAGACTTCTTCAAAATAAGAAAAAAGTTAAACAAGTTAATCATATTAATAATTAGTGAAATACGTATATGATGTTAGACTTATTCAAACTAATTTGTTTTCAAACCAAATGTCATATCATATCATATGTTACATGACCTAGGTTTTATTTAAAAAAAAAAACTTTTATAAACATTTTGAAACTGATCAAACGGAACAAACTAACACATTTTTATAAAGATATACGAATACATGTTAATTAATAACGTTATTTTCATTTTAATTCAATAACTAACAAAATTTTGAATTGATAAATTTAATATTTTTTTAAGGAAATTATATCGTATAACTATGATTCAAAGAAAAATAAACATGTTGATTTGCTTTGAAAAAATAGAAAAAATTCAGATATAATTGAAACCACATTTTAAAAACACAATTAAATACTTCATAGTAAAAGAAGAATGCGTGGAAAACAAATTCGTTGTGTTCACGTTTTAAACAATAGCTTTCTATTGTAAATTGTTTATGCGCATGAAAATTAAATTACATAGATATATACTATTTTACATTTGAATTATTATTAATATTTTTTAAAGGAGAAATAATTCTTCAAAGAAATTCAGAAAATAACAAAAATATTATTTATAAACAATTATATTAGATAAACTTATAATATAACTAAAATAAATTTAATATAATTAAAATATATTTTCAGGTTATTTTAAGTCAAAAGAGTAAGATTATTATCGTTAACATTTATTATCGTATTTAAGATATTATATATTTTATAATTTTAATTTATTATGATTTTATTTTTAAAATTTATTTTAATGAATTAATTTTTTAAAAATATAATATCTATATATATATATATAAATTATTATTAATCTCAATTCATATTAAAATAATTTATTTTTCAATAATTATCTTGCTTTCTTCACTAGTGGAATGGAACCCTTAGTATATTGATAAATACTCGATCCAAATCAATAAACGATCAAGTCTATGAATGAATATCTTAAAAGATACAGAATTGAAAATGATATTCTAAAAATATAGGTAGCGCAAATACCATTCACATAATAATAAATTTTCTAAAATTGAACATAAAATATGGATTACAATTTAACAGGTGCCCCAAGAAAATTTATGTCCATATGGCTGACTTGAAGTGGACAAGAATTTGTTGCTATACTAAATGAACTGGTAAACTTTCTGACATACTATTCCACGTTTTTTTTATTTCCTTATTTTATGTTGAAGTTTCTTGTAAAACTTTGGTCAATGAACAAGATGGTGGCACGTAGAAAAAGTTGTGTAGTAAGTTACAACACTGAGATGGAAAGAAAGATATATCAAAATTGAACCTAAGATAAATTGACATAAGTTGAAATACACATTTGGAGAATTAAGGTTGACTATATGTGAAATTATTTTACATATTTACTCACCTAAAAATAATTGAGATAGATTATGAAACTTTGATTAAAATGTTTATTTAAGACTATTCTAATACTACTCTAGAATACAATCTAAAAATAATTCATATTAAATAAAGTGATCAATAGATACATAAGTCATAGTTAAAGAATTGAGATAGATAATGTAAAACTTTTTGTACATTCTCTTCTGCTAAAGACAATTGAGGCACATAAAGAGATAACACCACAAAATCTTTAACATGATCTTGATTGAAAATTTTGATATTTGTTCCAAAACTTGTTCACAAGTTAGAAAGTCTAGTTGTGCCAACAAATAAGTAATTATATAAATGGCATTACACTAAATTAAAATAAATTTGAAATTTTTTTCATCTTACTAATTATATATATTATTTTGAATTTAAAAAGTTGTGATATTCTAGGATTTTTACTTGTGTTATTTTGTTTTTTTTTACGTTAATGTAAAAGACGTATATTTATGTTGAACATAAAAATCAATGTCAATTTACATGAAAACAAAAAACAAAAAAAAACGTAAATGAGTTTCGAAAATAAAAAAATAGAACGAAATTTAAGTTAGTGTGTTAATATCTTATTATGTCGGGTGTTGACACATCTAACATAAATTTTGTCATTTTTTTAATATTCGATTTATTTTATCTTATGACCAAAACCTGCAAACATATTTTAATCATAAACAATCCAGATACCAAATTTTAATAGACAATAATTCAAAATATAACCATACAATACAATAGAATATATTATAATAAATATAATATAACCTATAAAAGCTAGACTAGTACAAAACTAAACTACTTAAAAACTAAATATTACAAAATTAAGCTAATACAAAAGCTAAGCTACCTAAATATTAAAATACATAATACAATACAATATAATATAAATAATAACTTATAAATTATGTACTAGAAATTTTGAACAAAAAACTTTGTTCATTGCTTTCTAACTTGTATAATATCATGTTTTGATAATGGAGATGAATATTGAAATATCTGAAACATTAATTTGACTCCTGTTAATATGCAATACATATAAAGGTAAATCAACTTAACAAATGTTGAAAGCAATTACCTTCATTCAAGAATCAATTATAAGTAAAAGACCAAAAATAAAAAATTTGCACTTCATTTATCTTAAGATTAGTTCCAAACATGATTCTAATTGAAATAAAGTAAGATATTATTCAAAAATATATATATATATATATATATATATATATATATATTATACTTTAAAAACATAATAAATAACAAAGATAGAGGTACCATTGTAACAGACTTTTTATTAATTGACTTGATTTTTGGTGCAATAAACAAAATCACACCACAAGTGTAATCCTTGAGAATAATTACAATTAACTGACAATAAGACTTGCATTATATGACATAAAAAATTAGTTATAAAATTAAGATGATTAAAAAATACTAATTAAAATACTAATTCTTTAATGTAAGGAACCAAATATATATGTCTTTGTGAGTCGCTTGTTCATGTTTACATATATTGCTGAATTTCAACCTTCGTATTTCTATATTTTTAGATGGATTGAGGCTCAATAAATTTATATATTTCGATTTTTCTTGCTCCACACTCAATTTGTCAATGTACCTAACATAATGGGTAACAAGTTAAATATAGTTATTATAATGTTAGAAACATAAAAGAAAATGAATTACATGACCCATAATTGTATGATGAAAGTGTTTAACATGCAATTTCCCCAATAATTTCTTATGTGTTAGGCAAGAAAATATACAGTAGAACAAAAAAATTGTCAATTCCAAATACTTTGGTGTGCCACTGCATCTGACATAGCATCTTCCTCAATCATGGCAATATGGTAAAAAACATAGATATGGGATCATCCATAGATTTTGTGAGGTCCTCATCAATAACAGTTTGTCTCCTATGCTTATCGTGACGAATAAACTCATAAACAAATTATAACAATTATATATATATATATATATATATATATATATTAACTTTGTTCGTGTTAAAAGTGACATCATCAAACATTTTGGCTAAGTTAAGAATGTACTGCTTGTCTGCCCCACTAGTTGAATCTTTTCATTAGGAAAAGACACTAAAGCATCAATATCATGAACTTTATCAACTACTATCCACGTCTAGTCTTCGTGTAGAGGGACACCGTGGATGGCTAAACTACCCTAAAAAACTTGACCAATAGTCAGTAGACACGAGGGATCATCTTTAACATATAACTCATACTTATGTGGTTCATCAGTGTGAGTATATTCACTTAAGGGATCTACAACAACAGTACAACTCCTTTTAGTATTGACTCGAACAACATCATCTTAAAATGTATGAGGTGTTCCTTAAGTCTATTGCTGAGAGCAAACAAGAGATTTAAGTTTCTCATCAAACTCTTCTTGTAAATACTTTTGTATCTGATTTAACTTTTTTTTCAAATTGCATCTCCATTTTATGCAAGACCTCCTAACTATAAAAGTCAGCAATGGTCCTCTGTGATAGTGGACCAAAGTAATCACGAAGGGTCTAGAATCCACCATTACCATGCACATGTCTTGGGTGTTTTTGGTCTTCCTATGGTTATCGTCAATATGTCTTCCGATCATGGGAAATGATTCTTGGGTGGTCTGTTCAGCTAAATCATCCTGTAATACATTAATAATAAGTAAGTCGCACATTATCTTACGTAGGAATTAATTAAAATTAATATTATAACTTATGATTTTCTCAGCAATGATTCATGCATACTCTAGAGAATTAAGGTAAATGATGTGAAATTTTCTTGACATATCTACTCGACTAAAACTAATGGAGGTAGATGAAGAAACCTTTAATAAAATGTTTATTACTATAGATGAGATTAAGACGACTTTAATACCATATTAGAATACAATTTAAGATCAATTGACATTAAGCAAAATGATCAACAAATATATATAAATCATACTTAGATAATTGAGGTAGACAATGTGGAATTTTTCCAAACATTTTCTTCGACTAAAAACAATTGAGACACACGAGACTTCGACTAAAAAGATATTTTCATAGAAGAAGATAACAACACACATTAACCTAATCTTAATAGAATATTTTGATATTTATTCCAAAAATTGATCACAACTTAAAAAGTCTAGTTGTGTTAACAAATAAGTAATCTATAAATGACATTACACTAAGTTAAAATATATTTGAATTTTTT